GCCCGATTCCATCTCCAGGCGTAGAACCTGAAGACGGTCATCCGTTTCAGTTGGTTGTAATGAACGGTCAGTACGTTGGCGTTTGTGCCCGTAGCGTTTCGATGCACATACACAGTAGGCGAGCGTACGAACAAAGTCTCATATGGTCCCTACCATTCCTGATGGAATTTTCCTGGTGTGCCAGCTGGAGGTCTTGGTCGGTGTAGCCATACTCGATCACCTTTTCAGTACTCAGGGCCCCGACTTTGGCGATCGTAATACTCCATCTGACTGTGCTGCGCCCTGTTTATACGCTCCTGCGCGCATTGAAAGGCTCATCGGAGTCGCTCACTGGTAATGTGGACGTATTCCGACATGGAGTAGGCCTCAATCGGACAGACACGTGATACTAATTCCAGCGGTAAACGAAGCTCATGGCTGAGAGAAAGGTAAACCGGAGCATAGCCGATTGTAGAGTGCACCGGGGCCCGGTAGACAAGCGTACATTGTGGCAATGCTTCGTCCCACTGCTTAGACCGATGGCGTAGATTAGCCTTGATAGTCCTGTTGGTCCGCTCAACGAGACCATTTCTTTGGGGGAGATACGGTGTAGTTCGTGTCTTTTTAGTGGCTAGCAAGCGTCACATTTCTTGCATTAGCTGCCTCTCAATAGCCGTGTCCTGAGTACAAGGATATGGGTGCGCCGTAACGAGCCACCCACTCGTTGACGATGGTGGAAGTGACAGTGGATGCAGATTGCCATCTGATAGGTCTTGCCTCGCACCACTTCGTGAAGTAAGCAATCATAACTAGTATGAAGCCGTTCTCGCTCTTTGTTATCGGCAAAAATCAATGACCTCCGTCTGAAGTTATCAACAGAAGCTTACCAAGTATCCCATCTGGCCTGTTTGTCTGCAAACGAATAAACCCACAAAGACAAAAGTGCATCAAATCAGGGCTCTAACACACTCCCATCCTGGTCTAATGTCACTGGACAATTTGAGCTGGATGCCTTTATCCACAGGATTGGATCAGCCAAGGCCAGACTACAAAAAAACCTTCAAAACAAATGATTATCACAACATACCTTAATCACTCCACAACCACCTAACCCTTGGTCACGCTTGTCGAGCATCCAATTGCTCGCATATGGCTTGTAGTTAATCGCAGGCTGCTCTATTGGCAACGAAAACATAACTTTCCCATAACACCAACTGGGTGGTTCAGGTCTACCCTGTTCCAGCAAATGTTTAGCGACAGTACTCCAGGACGCGGTGGGTTTTCGCCTGGCTAGCCTTCTCCCTATAAAAAGCCACTGATGTACGTTTAACAGCACCGTGACGAGGCGGATGTGACTCGCCTCTAACTAAAGTCACGGCCCCATGCTTACTCAACCATCCCACCACACTCCCACCACGGACTTCTCACAACACTACTATCCACTACTACTACTATCCACGCGATTAATGACGATTGTATTGGCACATATCCAAACTGGGATAACAGATAGACACATCCACTTCTACATACATGTATGAACTCTCAGCTGAGAGCTGACTTGCATCATGCTTTATACATTCCCCGACATTTAGCTGTACATTTGACATGATCATGCCTACATAGGCGCGTCTAGCACTGCACGAGAATATAGAATTTATTTATTTATTGATACCTACTCCAATTCGTTGCCCTGATGCGCAAGTAAAATCGGTACCAAAGCAGCATGTGGGACAAGCACCATTGGTTTCAAAGTAGCACAGAGCTCACATGACGCACAGAATTGAACGACATCTTCATGGATGCCCAGCCACCAGTGCCGTTGACGAACTGCAACCGTTTTCAACTGACCGGATTGGCCCAATTGTTGAAGAAATTTTTGTAGCATTCCAAGAGATCGTGTCAGCGGAGTAATCAGTTTCGGACCGGATTTATCAACGCGATACAAAAAACCGTCGATGATTCCCAAGCCCTTCCAGTGACCGAGTTTGGAGTGCTCTGCTGTGATACGTTCACGCAGTTCAGTTCCAGTGGGTTTCGGGGAGACATTCAGCTGTCCGTTGTAGGTGTTAGCTATCTACGTGTCACATGCTTGCTCTTCTGGCCACGCAATACCGGGCTCTGGGGTGACGAAGCCGAATTGAGCTGTTCGGGTCTCAGTAGCCTTGACAGCGCCTCTGCATTGGAGTGTCGTGTCCTGGGATGACATTCGCAAGTAAAATCGTATCCTTGAAGCTGTTCCTGCCCTCTTCTAGCTGACCATCTGGCTTACGAAAGTGTGTTAACTACTGAAGTGACTGGTGCTCAGTGCGAACCCGAAAGGACTTTCCAAGTAGGTACGGCCTAAAATGTCACAAAAAGCTAACCAGCACCAGTAGTTCCCGTCGAGGGGTGCTGTACTTCCTCTCGCGTGTATCTAAGCGGCGAATGGCGTGGGAGATTACAACTTCGCCCACCGGAGTTCTGGGATAAAACTGCGCTGATCGCTTCGTCGCTCGCATCTGCATCAAACACAAAAGCTCCCGACTCTGGTGAGGTGTCAGGGAGAGCCAAGATTTGAGGTGTCGTAAGATGAACTTTCTACCCTGCAAAGCATGCTGTCATTCGTTAGACCAGCAGAATTTTCGTCCCTTCTCAGTTGAAAGATGTAAGGGGGCTGTGATGACCGCAAACTTAAAAATAAACCGTCGATGGTACGGAGCCTATCCCAAGAAACTTCGGCGTTCTCTTGTCGTTTTAGGTTGTGGCCAGGAAGTAATTTTTTCACATTTGGCGAGATCGGTCCTCATACCTTCCTGGGAGACAATGTGCCCCAAGTACTTAAGTGCACGCATGAGAAACTGATATGGTGGACCCCGTAGTTTCAAGCCAGTCACACAGAGCCTACCCAGCACGCGGCACAGCCGCCGGTTATGCCCCTCAACCGATCGCCTATGAACGATTATGTCGTCCAACTAAATTAAAGCTCTACCAGGCGTCAGACCATCCAGGGATTTCTGTATTAGTCACCGAAAGGTAGTCGAAGCATTAACCAGACTAACTGGCTAGCCGAACAACCTCCTTGTGGTGCCAGCTGGGTGGCTGGTGTTTAACCCGTTCCAGCAAATAGTTCGGCGGCAGTGTTCCAGGACGTGGTGGGTTTTCGCCTGGCAAGCGTTCTCCCCATAAAAAGCCACAAATGTCTGCTTATCAACACTGTGACGTGGCGGATGTGACTCGCCACAAAATAAAGTCACTGGCCCGTGGACATCCGTTAAATGGTATCCAACCCACGGACGTCAATCGCTTATTCTCACATTCCTGCCGATAACAAACAGTCAAAAATTCTGCGGCACATTCAAAAATACAAGCTACATTCATAGACAATTGAATACATACATACACCCATACACTTACATTCACTGTTATGCCAAACATGTACTCTTTGTACATTTTGATCACACTATGTTAGCTAAACATGATCATGCCTGTACACTTGTGCCCCGCATTGTCGAGAATAAACGTTTATTTATTTATTTAATTCACGAAGACCTTGGGGAACAGTGAACGCCGTTTTCTCAGGGTCCTCGGGTCTTACTTCTACTTGCCAGTAAGCACATGCAAGCTCCAACGTAGGGAACCAGCATGAACCATAGCGTACATAGAATGTGGCATCAATACGGGGCTGTGGAAATGAAGCTTTACTTGTTTCCGCGTTAAGCGTTCGATAATCAACACAAAGCCACAAGGTCCCGGCTTGCTTCTACACTAAAAGGATTGGCGATGCCCACGGTAACGGCGAAGGTTTAATGATACATTGGTCCAGCATCTCTTTAAACATTGACTCCAACTGCGGTTCGTAATAAACCGGCAACCTCCGAGCATGTTGACGAATAGGTCGGTGGGACAAGGTGTCAACCTCATGTTCAACTAGGTTCGTACTGCCAGCAGAATCAACTGTGGAAAACACACCTTCAAACTCCCGTAGCACCGAGCCGGTCGCGCAAAAACGCGTGACTCTGAGGTCGGTGTACTGGCATGCGCAACACGTAGCCCAACTCCAGTTGGTGGGGACAGTCCTTCTTCTACAGCTTCACTAGTGAATTGTGCCCATCCTCTACATGAGCAGGTCCCCCGAATTTGAAGTGGGCTGGAGTAAGCGTGTCTGCATCTGCCGCGTTATTCACTTTCAACGGGCCTCCGAGGGCATTGTATGAAGCTGGACAAACCGCGGTCCGATTGAGTTGGAGCGGAGACACGGTTATCGCGTCGAGTCATCGAGGGCTGGAACCTGCTTCGCGGAAATGTTGTCAAGGAAGCTGCGGTTAAAGGGTTTGGGCGTCAACTAGCCGCTCTTGGGTGGCAACACGATACCATTCCTTTTTCCTGGCTAATTCCCATATTCATACTTCGATTCTATATTCTTTACTTTTCCTCTTCATTGTTATTATTCTCTTCTTTTAACTGATTTCCCCTACTCTCTTGTCCGCTTTTTCTTAGTCTCTTACTTACTTCACGTAACTGACATAGCAGGGACAGCCAAAATAAGGAAAGTGGGCATTAAATTGGTGGTCCAGGGTGCTTTTCCGGGTGCTTTCTTCTTAGACCCATCAAGAAGTCGGAGCACCCCTATCGACTCCTGGATCGACGACCCGCTCAAGAAGGAACACTAACGAGCTTCATTCTATGTTTCCAGTCCCACTTGAAATTGAATTGAGCTTGAAAGGCCGTACTTGTTTGGGTTTCTGTTTTATGTGTATGCAAATCGCAATCAGAGCTAGCAACTCCCGGTTCAACGATAATCAGAAAAGGGAATATACACAGTATACTCATATCGAGCCACCCTTAGAAGAACTTGAACTTGACAAGCCCACAAATGAAATGAGAGTGCTTTTCTTGGTGTTTTATATCAGGTGACCAATACGCAAGTAGCGTGCACTATAACCGTATGTTCGGAAAATCTTGCAAGGTCGATTATGTTGTGGTTGGTAAGAAGTTATTTGATGCTTAAGATAACGGCCTTTGTTTGGCTGTACCACTTGGTCATTCCTCTGTTTCGGTTTTACATACCGCGAGCGGGCTCTGTCCGGATCATCATTCTTTCCGCTGAAATGTCCTTTGTTACGTGGGTTTTGTAGCTTAACTACTTGTTTTAAAATGGATGCTTACAGTCCTTCTCATCCTACGGATCAAGATATGGAAATTGAAAGTGATACTGCCAACACTCCAGAGCAAGTTTCACACAGGAACCCAGAGTTCAATCCCGTTTCTGGACCGATTACGCCCGTGTTACTCGCAGAACAGAGTTTATCTGCCCAAGAACATGATACGGAGTGTGGGATGCGAACTCCGAATCAACCATTTCAAGTTATGGATCACGGTGACCAGTTGCACTTTTCTAACAAGAGAGTGGAATGCGAATTTGATTCAAGCTCGATTGGAAGGGAAAGCTACCAATCGCAAACTCTTAAAACCCTTCAGAAGGCACCGATTGGAGATTCGGAGTCAACCGCACGTTTAAAAGATAGTAAACAGGATAAATCACAAGCTGTGCGACGACGGAGCCGGTCACGCTCACGCCGACGTGAACGAAGTCGTTCTGACGATCGGCGTAATCGCAGAAAATCTCGCTCTCGCTCCCGTTCCAGGCACCGTTACTCGCATTCCAGACGGCATTCGAGATCACATTCGCGAGAGAGGCGGTCTCGAAGATCTAAGACACCTGAAAGAAAATCATCCCGTGTCTCTCACGTTCGCGGTTCATCTAGGACAAGCCCATTAAGTCGCCAAAAAACAAGTCGTTACAACAGTGACGGGCGATTCACATCGCGGTCTCACTCCGACAGACAGGGGTCTCCCTGTGGTTTTTCTGTGAACCACGTGACTTCTGAACAGAATGATGAACCGGAGGTCATTCCCTGGAACCCGCCAAAGCCCGATGAATCGGCGAGCTTCATTAAAGATGTTCCGAAAGAGGAGGCAACGAAGCAGGTATCGCCGCCACACAAAAGTGCGCAACAAGCTTTGCCACCAGGTGCTGCCGTTGACCTCATGTTACCCACTCATCCTCGTCCACAGAGAGCTACAAACCGCTGGACCCCCCGAACATTTAACAATCCAACTTATGCTTCTCCAGCGCCGAGTTCTTATAGCACTGTGCCACGCTTTTTACAGCCCTCATTTGGTCTACTGAACCCTCCGGTTCAAACATTTTTCCCGCAAAACACGCTTTCTTTTGGAGGTGGCACCCTACCTCCTAACTACTTACCGCCTCCTCCAATGATGGTCCCTCAAATGCAGTCTGTTTTGCCTATGTCGGGCGGCTCTTTACCATTTCAGAGTAGCACTCAACCTCCACTGACAAATCTACCGCCTGCATCGAATTTTTCCATGGCACCGCCTGGATTTAGCACGATAACCCCTCCCCCTCCTCCTCCGCCGCCACCACCTCCTCCCCCACCTCCAACATTCGCTCAGCAATTGCAAGCTCCTCCTCCGCCGCCATCCAACTTATTGGAAACTTTGATGAGCAAAGCTGGCTTGCCACGGGAAACCTTAAGTGACATACATAGCCATTCCCAGCCAGCAACTGGTGAAGTCTCTGCGTCTTCCGAAAATTCGCCAATGAAACGAATAAACAAGCTACTTAGCAGTGCTGCGAACTCACTGCTTAATCAGCTTGCCGGTGGACAATGTGCGCCGCTCGTTTCAACTGCAGATCAGGTTCCACCGCCACCACCGCCCCCGTTGCCACCAGGCAAGAGCGAACAGAGTGCCCACAAATCACCTGAACAGTCGTTCACATCAACTTTTGTACCTCCACCACTTCCGGTGTTACCGCATTTCATTGACTCACAAAACGAACCTACTAGCACTGTTTCTAATGGCAACCAACAGTCAGTTTCGGCAGTTCATAGAAACCCCTTTGAAGGACAGAAGTTGGAAGACATTTTGGCGAAGCGTAGGCGCTACGATTTCTCCTCTCGTCGGGAGTGGCAAGAACGTATAGCTCTTGAGGTGAAATCGGTGTTAAAACCTGCTTATTCTATTCGAAGGATAACCAAAGAAGATTACAAGGAGATAATGAAGAAGGCGGTCACAAAGGTAATTCGTTGTCTTGATTTATTACTTTTCGCAGATTTCTAGAAGCGGCACGTCATCCATCAACTCTCAGAAGATCAACGACTTTGTGAAACTGTATATTGACAAATACCATCGTATGCACAAATTGAAGACTCGAGCACCCGAAAAACTAACTGTACAGTAACTTTTAATTTTTTGCAACTTAGCTGTAAATATAAGATTTATGATTAATTCTGAGAATAGGTGGTCTCGCTTTTTCTCCGTTAATAGCATTGATTCGCTCGGTGACCATCTCGGATGCTGAATTTCATACCTAGAAATCTCAGTTACTACTGTGGCTCGGGAACATTTGTCTGTCCGTCATTAGCTGTAGTGCTTATTTTAATTACTATCTTGCTGGAACGTAGCTGGCACACTTTAACCATCCGGCGTATTCGTCACCTATTTGCACTTGCCTGCTTTTGAGGCCGTTGATGGTGCGCTACCTTTCATTTGGTTCCAGGTTTAGTGACGGAGGGATGTATTCGAGCTTCAGATGGTTTGTATCACTAGATCGGACCATATATGCAGACAGGTCTGGTCGACGACACTAAAAAACGATCACAATGCTTGCCACTACGGAATTCGTTTACTACTCGGTTTCACAGCCTGAACAACTAGTACAAAAGACATGAGTGCATGCTTTACCTGAATTTTAATGAACCTTTTTAGAGGTTTTCTGTCCTTCTTTACCGAATAGCTGAAGCTAATGTGTTGGGTAGTGCGACAAATATGGTGTTTTTGGTCTTAATTCCAATCGGTATGGTTATTCACTGAAACGCCTATCGCGCGGACAATTTTTTCTGGTTGCGCTCTGGTTCATCATCTTGTGGATCCCATAAAGCCGATTGGCACCCGGTAGGCAGTTGCTGAGGTCGATATTCGAGCTTCTACCATCAAACGTCGGTGGTTGCGAGGAGATTTAGAGGTGATGGGTAAGTTGAATGGGCGGCATTGTAGCTGTTACGCTGCTTCTAATCTCCTTTATCGGTCTAGACCACCGCTTTGGCAAACGAGTTATTTTATCACTGGTTAGTAGAGAGCAGAAAAGCGATCCATTGTCAGCTCCACCACTTCCCAGTCCATTGAGTTGTAGAGAGCAGGAGGGAAATCCCTTGTCAGCCCCATCGATTCCGTATCATACTGGGTTTGATGCGTGTCGTTGCGTTACGACGTTCCTCGAGGGTTCGTCGCAATTGCAGTGACAGTCGCAAGATTCCAGCATTTTCAGCGAATGTTTGTCTAGCAGTCGCTTGAAACTTTCCTCGGTTGGAGCGTCTGCAATTGCTTCCGGTAGGCTGTTCCAGTCATTCACAACTCTAGTGGATAGAGTGATGTCCTTGCGAATTTTGTCTTCTTTGCTTAAACAGTTTCCATGTGTGCCCTCGGGTGGAACAGTCAGTGTTGGGCCGGAAGAATTGTTGTAACTCACTTCCAAGTCCCCCTCGGAGGATGCGTCTAGTGTAGATGAGGTCACCCCGGCGACGGCGGAGCTCGAGGGAGAACAGATTTAGCTGCTGGAGTCGAATCGGGTACGGGAGATCACGTAGCCACAGAACAGCTTTTGATGCACGTCTTTGAACCTTTTGCAGCAGAGCGCTTTCAAACTTGGAAAGCGGATGGCTAGCTGGTAGGCCATATTCTAAGACTGGACGGACGTACGAAGTGAACAACGGTCGAAAAATCTCGGGAGTCATTTGAGCGAATGATCTTAAGGCACCTACCAGTCTCCTTCCAGTGGCCACCTTCTTTAACGTGTCCTGCGTCGTTCTGAGGTCAGAAGTTACGATAACCCCGAGATCTCTCTCGTGGGTGGTATTCCTAAGGAGAAACCCACCAATGTGGTATGCACCGTAGGGTTCGGTGCCACCCATTGGGAGAACAGCGCATTTATCTCGGTTTACTGGCAATTCCCACTTGATGGACCATTCGTGCAGCTGGTCTAGAGCCCCTTATAATCTGTCCGCATCCTCAATGCTGGATACTGTTGACCAAAGCTTGAGGTCATCGGCGTAGATCAAGCAGTCGGTTTGTAGCGCAGTCAGTAGATCGTTAATGTATAGTTTGAAGAGCTCTGGTCCAAGCACTGATCCTTGGGGAATGCCACTAGTCATAGGCACTGGAGCAGAGAGGGTTTGGTTCACTTGTACGCGCATTGTCCTACCCCTTAAGAAATCGGCAATCCAGGAGAGAAGATTTCCCGTAATGCCAATTCCCTGGAGTTTATGTAGCAGTCGTACGTGTGGAACCTTATCAAAGGCTTTGCTAAAGTCAATGAGTATTACGTCAATCTGTTTTCGGGTATCTATGGCTTCTGCCCATGTTTCCCTGGCGATGAGTAAGTTAGTGATGCATGAGCGTGCTCTCCGGAAGCCATGTTGAGCAGGTGAGATGAGGTTTAGGTGCACACAGTGTAGCTGGAGAGCGCACTTGACTATTCGTTCCATAGTTTTGCATACGACCGATGTCAGACATATTGGCCGGTAGTTGGCTGGGTCTTGTTTGTTTCCCCCCTTGTATTTGGGCAGGACGATGCCTGCTTTCCAGCCTGTGGATAGGCAGCCGACTTTGAGGGATTGTCGAAACACTTGGCAGAGAGGGACGGCGACGTACTCAGCTATCGTTCTAAGGAAGCTGGGATGCAATCCGTCCGGGCCTGGGGAGGAGTTCGGGTCCAGTTCGAGGAGTAGCTTAGTGACTACTTCGGGGTTAATTTCAACTTGGTCCATAGAGGAGTGGTGTGCAGGCAAACAGTTGTTGAGCAGTGGTGACTCCACTGAGTAGACCGAGGAATATTGCGCAGCCAGTAGGTTTGCTTTTTCATCACCGTAGAGAACGGTAGCTTCCTTAAAAGAGGATAGAGCGGGAATTCCACTACCAGTTTGGCATTTCGCTTCAAGTAGGCAAAAAGTTTCTTGGGACAGTTTTGGGATTCTATGGCCAGTCTATGTTCATATTGTAGTCTTTTGTCTCGTTTTCCCAGGGTGCATAGGTTTATGACAGTTTTGTACTCTAAGTAGCTTGATGTCTGTCCTGTGCTCTTGAGATGATCCCATAGTTTTCGACGTTTTTTCATTAGGGATCTTACTTTATCAATCCATGGGTGTCCTTTGGATGGTGGTCTGCTCTTGCAGTTTGAAACAAACTGTTTAATGAGCCGCATCATCATAGATCGTAGGCGTTCCCATGCGTCATCAAGCTCTAAGGATTGTGGGATACTCCAGTCCATGTTACTTGCAGTCGTTCTTAATCTGTGCTGGTCAGTACGCCAGAAATTTCGACTCAGTGTCCCCTGATCGTGCATTGTGAGGCGTCGTGTCCACGAAAAGGAGACTGTACAGTGATCACTCGTCCCAAGAGGTTGGAGGATCGTTAGATCTGAGACATCAGATGGTGCCGAGGTATCCGTATCATACTGGGTTTGATGCGTGTCGTTGCGTTACGACGTTCCTCGAGGGTTCGTCGCAATTGCAGTGACAGTCGCAAGATTCCAGCATTTTCAGCGAATGTTTGTCTAGCAGTCGCTTGAAACTTTCCTCGGTTGGAGCGTCTGCAATTGCTTCCGGTAGGCTGTTCCAGTCATTCACAACTCTAGTGGATAGAGTGATGTCCTTGCGAATTTTGTCTTCTTTGCTTAAACAGTTTCCATGTGTGCCCTCGGGTGGAACAGTCAGTGTTGGGCCGGAAGAATTGTTGTAACTCACTTCCAAGTCCCCCTCGGAGGATGCGTCTAGTGTAGATGAGGTCACCCCGGCGACGGCGGAGCTCGAGGGAGAACAGATTTAGCTGCTGGAGTCGAATCGGGTACGGGAGATCACGTAGCCACAGAACAGCTTTTGATGCACGTCTTTGAACCTTTTGCAGCAGAGCGCTTTCAAACTTGGAAAGCGGATGGCTAGCTGGTAGGCCATATTCTAAGACTGGACGGACGTACGAAGTGAACAACGGTCGAAAAATCTCGGGAGTCATTTGAGCGAATGATCTTCTTAAGGCACCTACCAGTCTCCTTCCAGTGGCCACCTTTAACGTGTCCTGCGTCGTTCTGAGGTCAGAAGTTACGATAACCCCGAGATCTCTCTCGTGGGTGGTATTCCTAAGGAGAAACCCACCAATGTGGTATGCACCGTAGGGTTCGGTGCTACCCATCGGGAGAACAGCGCATTTATCTCGGTTTACTGGCAATTCCCACTTGATGGACCATTCGTGCAGCTGGTCTATAGCCCCTTGTAATCTGTCCGCATCCTCAATGCTGGATACTGTTGACCAAAGCTTGAGGTCATCGGCGTAGATCAAGCAGTCGGTTTGTAGCGCAGTCGGTAGATCGTTAATGTATAGTTTGAAGAGCTCTGGTCCAAGCACTGATCCTTGGGGAATGCCACTAGTCATAGGCACTGGAGCAGAGAGGGTTTGGTTCACTTGTACGCGCATTGTCCTACCCCTTAAGAAATCGGCAATCCAGGAGAGAAGATTTCCCGTAATGCCAATTCCGTGGAGTTTATGTAGCAGTCGTACGTGTGGAACCTTATCAAAGGCTTTGCTAAAGTCAATGAGTATTACGTCAACCTGTTTTCGGGTATCTATGGCTTCTGCCCATGTTTCCCTGGCGATGAGTAAGTTAGTGATGCATGAGCGTGCTCTCCGGAAGCCATGTTGAGCAGGTGAGATGAGGTTTAGGTGCACACAGTGTAGCTGGAGAGCGCACTTGACTATTCGTTCCATGGTTTTGCATACGACCGATATCAGACATATTGGCCGGTAGTTGGCTGGGTCTTGTTTGTTTCCCCCTTTGTATTTGGGCAGGACGATGCCTGCTTTCCAGCCTGTGGGTAGGCAGCCGACTTTGAGGGATTGTCGAAACACTTGGCAGAGAGGGACGGCGACGTACTCAGCTATCGTTCTGAGGAAGCTGGGATGCAATCCGTCCGGGCCTGGGGAGGAGTTCGGGTCCAGTTCGAGGATTAGCTTAGTGACTACTTCGGGGTTAATTTCAACTTGGTCCATAGAGGAGTGGTGTGCAGGCAAACAGTTGTTGAGCAGTGGTGACTCCACTGAGTAGACCGAGGAATATTGCACAGCCAGTAGGTTTGCTTTTTCATCACCGTAGAGAACGGTAGCTTCCTTAAAAGAGGATAGAGCGGGGATTCCACTACCAGTTTTGGCATTTCGCTTCAAGTAGGCAAAAAGTTTCTTGGGACAGTTTTGGGATCCTATGGCCAGTCTATGT